ATAAAACTGAATATTCATCAAATCGAATGAGTTTAGCTGTACTTGGCAATCGTATGTCATTAATTTTTTCGAATAAAAATAAAACTAATTTTGTTTTCAGAATCACTCGATGAACTTCAATCACTTGTTATTAAAAGTTTTAAAGAAGTACAAAATAAAAATCTGGAAAAACCAAAATATCCTTCTGATCCATATGGTGAAAGCAAACGAAAAGTTTGTTTTCTTTTTTTTATTAAACAAAATTTTTTTGGGATTTTCTTTTTTTTTTTAAAGACAATTTGCTATCATGTTCCTGTGAACGAATCTCGTCAATTAACAATCAATTGGGTTATACCTGATCAAAGAGAATTATATTACTGCAAAGTACGTAAAGATTATTTGACTATTTTATGTTAAATATCTCGATTATACTCAGCCTGAATTATATCTATCACATTTAATTGGACATCAAGGCGATGGTTCATTATCGTCATATTTAAAAACATTGGGTCTTGCTATTGAATTGGTAGCTGGTGAAAGTCATTCTGCACCTGGATTTAATTTTTTTTCTATTGATATTCAACTAACTATTGAAGGATTGAGTAAATAGAATAGAAAAATTAATTAAAAAAATTTTGTTTTATTAAAATTAGATCAATGGGAACGAATTCTTTATAGTGTTTATCAATATTTGGCTATGTTACGTAAAGAAGGACCAAAAGAATGGATTTTTAATGAAGGCAAAGTAGGATGAAGAGTTAAGTTTGAAAAAAAACAAAAAAAATTTTTTTTTGTATTGTTTTATGTTTAGAATATAAATCAAATGGAATTTCAATTTGAAGAAAAAGGACAACCGCGTCATATTGTATCAAATTTAGCTGGTAGAATGAGGGTATGTATATTTAAATAAGAAAATATCAATTTGAATTTTTTCCACTTTTTTTTTCGTAGGATTATCCATTAAGTGAATGTTTATCCGGTCCATATGAAATGCGTGAATTTCGTCCAGATTTAATAAATGAACTTCTTAATGAATATTTAATTCCAACTAAAATGAGGTAAAAAGAAAAACAAAAAAGACTTGAAATTTATTTTCAAAATCATTTGAATGTTCTTTAAGAGTATTTCTCACAAGTAAAAAGTTTCTATCAATTGCAACAGAAAAAGAAAAATGGTATGGTACACAATATAAACAAGAATATTTATCAGAAGAACTAATTAAACAATGTGAAACATGTGAAATTAATTGTGAATTTTATTTACCAACACCAAATCAATTTATTCCAACAAATTTTCAATTATTTTCTAAAAAGAAAAATCTTGCACGACCACAAATACCAACAAAGATTAAAGTAAAAAGTTATTCTCTTGATTTTAATTTCAAAAATTAGATTTGTTTTCTAAAAGGAAAATGAATATTATCGTCTTTATTATGCTGAAGATTCATTTTATAGATTTCCTAAAGCTTATATTTATTTTGAATTTCGAAAGTAAGAGAAATATTTCAATGTGTTTTTTGTGTTATTTTTTAACATTCAGTCCATTAGTATGTGTTGATCCAATACATTCCAATTTGACTACACTTTATGTTGAATTAATAAATGATTCATTAATTGAATTTGTCTATTCAGCACAACTTGGAGGTTTAGACTATGAATTATATGATTGTAATGATAGTATTCAAGTATTTTTAATATTAATTTTCAATATAAATAATTTTGTTTTATTTGGTTTTTCTCTAGTTAAGTATTTCTGGATTTAATCATAAAATAAAAGAATTACTTAATATAATTATTGATCATATGATTAATATTAAAATAGAAGTAGAACAATTTGAAATAATTAAAGAAAAAGTAATTCAATTGATTAAGAGAGATTAAACTTATTGAAATATTTTTCTAGTTTAAACAGTCATTACAATTTTTTCGTCGTTGTGTTCCTTCTACAATGGCAAAGTTTGGTCTTACGTATTTAACAGCTGAATATGACTGGAATAATAATGAATTACTTAGTTGTCTTGATGGTACATTGAAAAAAGTTAATTTTGAAAAAAAGAATTTCTTCATTTTTCTTTGTTACGATATTACAATGCATGATGTAGAATCATTCATTACTCGAGTATTAAAACATTTTTATATTGATTCATTAATGTATGGAAATTTAACAAAAAATGTACGAAAATTTATCTTTTTTTTTGTTTGTTTGATTTCAATTTGAATATTTGCTGTTTTGTTTTGAATAGCAAGCAATTGAATATATGACTTTAGTTGAACAAAAATTTAAAGAAAAATCTTTTTATCAACCACTTTTTCCTAGTATGTGGTTTAATCAACGTGAATTAGCATTACCTAATGGTTTGTTTGACTTTTCTTATTCATTTTAAATTGAATATTTTCTTAGGTTGTAATTATGCATATACAATGTTTAATGATGCATATAAATTAAATGCAATCATTATATATTTACAATGTTTTCAAGAAACACCTGAAAATAACGCTTTACTTGGATTATTTTCTTATTTAGTTAAGCAACCTTGTTTTAATCAATTACGAACTAAAGAACAATTAGGTTACGTCATTAATTCACAATTATGGCGTTCATGTGGTGTACAAGGTTTTAGTGTTACTGTCCAATCAGCTCGAGAACCTGGTTATATTAACCAACGTATTGAATTATTTATTGATTCGATAAGAGTATGTAAGAAAACAAACAGAATAGAATATTATTTCAGAAGGTATTAGTTAATAGTATAAAATAAATCTACCTTGATTAGTTTATCAATAAGAGTAGTGGCGTATCCAGGATTTTTCACTATGTTGGATTTCACCTTCAGAGCATAGGATCAAGATGAAACTTATAGAGGTATGATATAAAACCCAAATGATGATTTTTTATCAAAAGATTTTTGTAATAGGGGTTTGCGAAAAAAATTAGCATTTTCCTGAGCCCCCTCAAGATTTTTCTTTTACTATTTGTAGTATCCTAGTTTTTAGAATTTAATAGTATGCTACATCAAAATTCATCGACAGATTTCAAATTTCATCGAAAAATATGCATCCGTTACCGATTTACAATGTTTTGAAAATTTACTGCATGCTGTCAAAATTTTAGAAAAAATTCAAAACATTGTAACTTGCGAACGGATGCATATTTTTCGATGAAATTTGAGATTCGTCGATGAATTTCGATGTAGCATACTATTAAATTCTAAAAACTAGGATACTACAAATAGTAAAAGAAAAATCTTGAGGGGACTCAGGAAAATGCTAATTTTTTTCGCAAACCCCTATTACAAAAATCTTTTGATAAAAAATCATCATTTGGGTTCTATATCATACCTCTATAAGTTTCATCTTGATCCTATGCTCTGAAGGTGAAATCCAACATAGTGAAAAATCCTGGATACGCCACTAAATAAGAGACTAAACATATGTCAAATTTAATACATGAAAACGTCAAAAATTGGCTGATGTTGTAAATAGGAGAGCTTTGATAATACCTCTTATATTACTATAGTCCGAAGAATTAAAAGTAGGTCTTAAAATTTGATTTTTAAAAATCTTTCTTCAATTTCGTGATGATGTGTTCTCTTGTTTTTTTATATACTATAGACCGAGATGGATGGGTCATATATTTACCATTACAATACGCTAGTGGTCCTCTATCTATACTGTATATTTTAGATTTTTATCGTTTTGTATATGTGTATATGTAATTTCAAGTATAGTGATTTTCACATACTATTACAAGTTTGATTTACATTTGTACATTCAATATTTGTTTAACATATTCCGGAATAACTTTTTATATTATGCTTCCTTTCTTACATTATCACTTATAGAGTTCACTTGTTGGCATAGTGGCTATGGTCTGTACACTAGCAAGTGAGCTCCATATGTTATAATACAAGAAAAGAAGTATAATATAAAAAGTTACTCTGGAATACGTTAATACAGGGTGTCATATATACGTACCATATGATAAACATGTTAAACAAATATTGAATGTACAAATGTAAATCAAACTTGTAATGGCAAATATATGACCCATCTATGTCGCTCTATAGTATATAAAAAAACAAGAGAACATATTATCACGAAACTGAAAAAAAAAATTTTTAAATCAGATTTTAAGACATACTTTTAATGATTCGGACTATAGATACTATTAACACATATTTGGTGATGATAAGCTGTTAGTTGTGATGTATTTCGTTGCATAAAAAGGTAGCAAACATCGTAAGCATTAACCTGTCAGTATCATAGACTGTAGTAAATATTATATATCATCTTCTAGACAATTCTGTTTTACGATAAATTTTCTTGAACTACAGGATCTCTAATATTGTATAAGACTCTTTCAAATCCATTGTAAATTGTCTTTGAGAACGTCTAATGCACAATTTAACGAAGAAAAAATGACACAAATTATTATTTTAAATAGGATTATATTTCAACAATGTCTGATGAACTATTTAAAAAACAACGCGAAGGTTATATCGTTAAAAACGTGGAAATACCAAAAAACATGCATGATCAAGGAAATCGTTTTTGGAATGAAATAACTAATCATCAATTTTATTTCGATCGTCGTAAGAACAAATATTACAAAAATATTTGTAATTAAAAGTTTACTTTTTAGCTTCACGTGAAACTGAAATAATAAAAACATTAGAACGTGATGATTTACTTCGTTTCTATGATCATTACATATCACCACGTTCAAATTATCGACGTAAATTATCTGTTCATGTTAATCCATCTTCATTTGCACTCCAAATGCAAACTAATGAAACAAATACTATCGAAAATGAAGATGAATTAACAGATATTATTCATGAAGAATCGTCTTCAATTATTAATGAAGAAGATGTTGCTGTAACTACTGAAACAAGTCATGAGTCAATTCAATCAACTGAACAACTACCTATTATTGATAAATTAACTGAAATAGAAAATATTTTAGCTAAACAAGAGATTGATTTACCAGAGGTAAAATTATTATTAATCTATTTTGCTTTACTTTTTTGTTTTTATTTTTCCAGTTTGAATGGATCGGCAATGTTCATATATGGAAAAGTAAATTGTTATGTTATCCACTTGCTCAATCATATGAAAAACTTGATGTACCTGTTCTCTATAAATTATAAAGAGAATTTTTGTTGTCATCATGTTTTTTTATAGTTTACCATTATCTTTCAATATTCATATAATACTTTATTATTTTTATAGAATTTTTTGAATAAAAACTTCAATTGTAATTGAGATACTTTGATAAACTGTCTTTTTACGTCTAGATTTTTCTTAAATAAATATGAAATTTTGTTTTTCTATCATTTCGAAAGCCTATTCACTTTGTTCATAGAAAATTTCCAAATGACATATGTCCTTCTTTATTTCCTTCGCAGCTTAATCAACGTATTTCAATTTCGTGACAACTAATCAAACTTCATAATATAATAAATAGACTAAATAAAGGTAAATGCAGGATGGGTGTGGGTGCCGATGTAGGTATGAGTGTGGGTGTGGGTGTCGGTGTAGGTGTGGGTGTGCGTGTCGATGTGGGGTGTGGGTGGGATATGGGTGTGAGTCTCAGTGTGGGACTCAGTGTGGGGTTTGCGGATAGACTCACTCTCCAGCAACACTTACATCCACACCCACCACACCCACACCCACGCCCACACTCACACCCACACGCCACCCACACCCACACCCACACCCACACCCACACTAAATGCATATTGTTCGAAAAACCAACCAACAGTACTGAAATCGAAACGATGATTTTCATGTTGAATATAATAAGCATTATTTTGTGGTAGTGGAGGCATATTTGTTATGTTTCTTTCTGTATCTCCAATTTGTTGTAAGATAAAAACATAATCAACACCATCACCTTCATGTATAGCTGTTTCAATAAAATATTTTAAATTTCCATAAACATATTTATGAGAATTAGCATAGACAAATTAATTAAATATGTGATTTGACATTATGATCTTAAAAGTAGAGTAAAGGACATTTAACATTGAAAAGCAACTGCAACGGGACTAATTCAAGCTTAGATAAAATATACCTCATTTCTAATTGTAATAAGCAGAATACTTGAAGAGTATCCAATTAGAAATCAGATGTATATTTCACAATTATGTTAAAATTTAACATGAAAAAGACAAAAATTTTAGGTTAGTAGAACGTGAACTATTTGAACTTACGATGTGAAGTAAAAACATTCCGTATATTCAAGTGATAGATGAATCATTTAAAATAAGTGGAATCTTTCGGAAAGGAAAGTTTCACTCTACTTATTAAATTATTAAATTTTCAGTGAATAAAAGTGTAATTTTTTACATAAATCTTTGTCTAAGAGCAATAATTGAATTCAAATTGTCTGACATATGATCCATCAAAGCAAAAATAAACACTGTAATAATAAAATATAAAGTAATCCATTATGTTTTTTCTGTTTGCATGACATGAAATAATATGTATTTTTAAATAAAAATATTGAAGAATTCCTGTGCTTGGAGATACATAAAATGTTGACAATTAGAACAAACGTTTTTTGTGAAAATTTGAATGACAAAATCTCTACTCATAGTTTAATATAAACAAAAAGAGTAAGAAATAAAGCGAAATATGATTTAGATGACTACTTCATCGATCTTTTCATTGATTACATGTGGTTAATACAGAGCTAGAAATGAAATCTACGGTTACTATATATCCGAATAAGTTCTACTAATGGATTTTCTACTTGCATCCTCAATTTTTAAATATGTGATGTTGGTATCTTACATATTCTGTAGACATTTATATAATTTCTCACATCATGTAAATGAGTAACTCAAGATTTAGTATCGAAAGAAATCAGAATAAAATGCTGAGATAATTTAATAGCAATATTCATCAATAATAATTTAATACAATATAAAATTGAATCATGTAAGACAATTGCATTCCTAACTGAAATATTCTGTAGCTTATGTTTATGTAAAACGAGTCATCTAATCATGTACCTATTGAAATATACAATCAAGTTCTTCAACAGAAATTCGATACCGAAATAATATCTCTCCATAAAACTTCATTAATATGTATAATGTCTCGTTCGACTAACTTTTTTAACAGGTTTTTTTATTTCATTGCATACATCTCTGGTTCTCGGTTGTTCGTCATTTAAGAGCGCACGAAACAATTGTCAATCATAATATCAACATTTGCTTGACTATTCCAGAATTTCTATGAGCGAATAGAATTACATTGTATTGTTCGTTTTTGATCAAATTATTTACAATTCGTTGGAAAGTATTATCTTCGTTCGATTGTTTTGAATCTTGTGAGAAATATTCTTGATGTATAATTTTCAATATTTCCCGTTTGAGTTATGTAAATAAATATTTCACGATCAGTAGAAGATTCAATTAATATAATCATATTGGATATATGCACAAACAGCTATTTTCAACCTTCAGACACTGTAAAGCAAAAAGAAGTAAATCCAGCACAACTTGATAATAATACATATTAAGATAGACCGATAATTCATCAGAATAAAGGTATTGTAATTGATAGATTGAAAATAGCACACACGACAGCCTCTACTATTCGTATAGCCATTGTTTTTTTTATAGAAGGTTTGGATTCGAAATAATTAATGCTTTGAACATACGAGTGAATCGTCGTTGAGTAACAAATTTAGACGTGTTGATATTCGCCAATAACAGCTGGTTAACTGCTTTAGTAAAATTGAATTCATACAAATGATTGTCATTACATTCTAGATGAGCTTCTTTGGTAAGAACAAGGGATTCAATATGTTTGATGTCAATCATAGATTTAGCATTCAGGAATGGCTCATATATCTACAGTATTGACATAGTATAGATTTCTTCATTTTCTGTTGTTTTCAGAGAATATCGAGGACTTTTGAGATATTTCGCGAAACGATACATTAATATCTACATCATCCACATCTTTCTATAAAAAATCGTTGAATAAATGTAAGCATCTATCAACAAGAGTATTATCTAGTTGTTGATCTAAACCAGAAAATGTTCGAAATATATTACAAACATATTCAGAATATCGTAAAATTATTATTAAGACTTGATCAGATAGTGTTTCAAAGGCGGACGGCAAACATTCCATGTGTTTATGTTGTTTCTAAATGTCAAAAAAGAAATATTCACTATGCCGTTTCTTGTACATTTTATTGCATAATACCTATGTCGTTATTTAGTTGATTTATCATCTGATCTGCACATTAAAAGAAAAAGAAAATGTTTGTTTTTCATTTTCTGTTGCCTGCACTATATGTTTTGAAACTTACAGATGCTTTTACAAGACAGATGAATGAGCCAGTATATAATAAAGAAGTAGCTGATCCTTATTTTGCAGTATTATGAACTTTTGCATCTTATATAATAAGTCTTTTATTTCCTTAGCTAGATCTGTGTTTGTCTTAATGTAGAATACGCAACTTCAGTTTCATCACTCACTCACACTCTCAAGATATAGAAGACAAGAAAGGATTTCATCTTGTCCATATTAAAGTACATAGTCAATAATAATGTCAAGTTTGTCTTCTTGGTTGTTCAACATAAAAGTAAACATACAAAGAGTTTATTATGTTCATTGTTTCCAAATAAATGTTCTAATATATTGGGTATTTTACCATTGCATTAACAACCATCATATTTTGGGTCAATCTACAAAGTATCACTCACGACAATCACTAGAATAAAATCTAACTAGTATTTATTAAAACCAAAAATCACAAGTTACTGTTCTCTCTGTTATTATTCCTTCGAATAAAATCGTCGTAAGTTGGTAGTACTGACGACTGGTCCTCTATTGTAATTGTTTCTAAGTTATTGTCTGCAATCTCATCGTATGTTGGTAGCGAGCTTGAACTTGGTTGTGTAACGAATGTTGTTGTTGCATTTCTAATAATACGGTTATTGTTTTCAAATAGATGTTGTTCTGCTGAACCTATTGAACTTCTCAGTGGTATGTCTACTAGGAAACTTTCCGTTTGTGGACGCTGTAAATTGAAATGCTCCATCGACTGCTGTAGTATCGTTGAATATATTGGGAAGTTGGTAGGTTGATCTAAATTTACATGTATGGAAGCAGGATCAGTATACGGCCGATCACCAAGCGTAGTTCGTGTAGACGACCTGTTTTCATTGATATTGGAGATTGGTAATTGTTGAATTGGAGAATTATTAGATTCTCTAATGTGACCAATACACGCAACACAACAGTCTGCACACTGCCAAAAACGTATACATGATCCTAAGAAGAAAAATAGTGCTACTACTACTAAGCAGACGAGTAGCCAGTCAACGTCGCATTCGCACTTGTCAATAGTTTCATCACAGATGTGTCTTGCTAGAAAAAACAATGTCAGATAAAAGTGATAGAAATGCACAGGAACGATCTATTGCTTAACTTACTCGGACAGCACCATGTCAAGAAACCCTTTTGGTACTTTTTGCCGGCTAAAATAATACAAATAATGTTTCATATTATATGCTTTTAATGGTTCTAGCTACTCATAAGTTAAAATTAACATAAAAACACTTTCAATATAATCCGTCAAAGATCAAAAGTTGTCAAATGATGAATTCATCTCAATCATCATGAAGGAGGAAGATTGGCGAAAGTTTAACAGAGTGGTAGAGACCGTCTCTCTCTATTATCTTACAAAAATAATATTTCCCCTTAGTTCTGAATTGAGAAAGTATTAATTTCATCGGTACTATTAAGCGGATTTTAGCATTACAGATATGTACATCTTTCTAGGCTACATAACATCGTGGGGAATACCTATTTTTATTTTGGAATAACATATCTCTATGAATTCTAATTATTTCAATAAAAACTCAATGAAATAATCCTGTTCATGATGATAATATCTTTGGAAATCTTGACTATTCAAAGAATTTAGTAGCTATTTCGAAAATTCGTTGGCAGCTAAAGTCAATACTCTAAATAATTTCACACAAGTGTACACATATTGAATCTAATGAAGCTTTTCGAATGCTAAGCCTTTCTAAGATTGGATTCTCTAACTGCTTTAAAATTTATTGGAATCTTTCGTCATTGATGTGTCTACTATAGGTATTATACGACTTTATTCAGA